TAAAAATGAAAATTTATATGGTGTATGTTATACTTTTATGAGTAACAAGTAAAGAGCACAGAAATCAAAGATGTTCGCAGTTTGAGTTGCATAGGCGTGTGGGCGTTGTAGGCGTGTCCTTTGAACGGTTTGGATTATTAACAAACTCTTTTGCAAATTTGAAGTCGATAGCTTGATTTTTGCGGCCAGAAGAATGTTTACAACAGACCTAACACGGACGGACAGAGGGACATATTGAAATCGATTTAGAGTTTGGTGCTAATCAAGACTTTGTGGTGTGTCTGATGCTTCCTTCTGGGCGCTGCAAATCTTGCGACAAGATGCATATACCTTTTAACCTGGTTATGGGCATAAAAAGGATGATTATTTTCTATATAAAAAAAGAACTGAAGTGAATGAATGATAAATGAATAACACAATGACATAAATGAAATTTTTGCAAAAATTGGACTTTGTTTGGAAATTCCAAAAAAAAAATATATATATATATATATAAATATGCTTTTCGTCTCACGTCAGATTAATCTTCAAAGTTCACAGCAGTGAAAAAAATTGTTTCAAAAGGAAAGAAATAGTTTGCGTTAAAACTAAGCCTAGGGAGAAATTATAAGCTCATAAAATTAGATGAAAATGTTACTAATACTAATCGCTGATGAAGAAGAAAATCATTTCATCATCATTGAACTGAATCTGAAGCTACGAAACAAACATTATACTTGCATGACATATTAAACGCACTTACGCATAGATTGTGATCGTTGTGCGTAAAGTTATGTAAAGTAGTCAAAGTACGAAAAACTTGCCATAAGTATTAAATACACTGATGCCAGATATTATTCTGGAGGCGTAGTTTTCGATTATATGAAACAAGAAACAACCTTAATTTATGTACTTAGAAAGACCAATGTATATAGATGTTGGGTTATTGGCTATAGAGTATTTTTTTTTTTTTTTTTTTTTTTTGCCCTATCTGCATTAGTTTGGGAACTCTTTGCTTGGTAGGACTCATCTTTGTGAGGCGGACTATTTCGCAATTTACTTACCTGTATGCTTGGTAGAAGGCAGCATTGGATCGGCAGGATCGGATCGTCATCTAATAAATAGGCTTTAATGATTTTTGTTATTAATTTAGCTTTAACAAGATCTAACTATAGGACTCGATTATTTTAATTAAAGCTCTTAGCTACGTCAGGCGTCAGCGTTTCGATCGCCTCTTACACATAATTACATATAATTAGCGCTGAGATTGGCATAGTTTGATCAATTTCGCATAACATAAGTCGATCTGTACAGCACTGCTAGGCATACAATGTGACTTATTATATATTATTAATAAACATAAATAATTTTATTTAAATTATTACGTTCCAAATATTCACACAGGCAAACAAACAAACAAACAAACAATCGATCTAAACATTTTTACATTACGTGGTTTCGTGTGAGCACACACAACACACAATGTAATGTAATCCACTTTGTTTGGAGATATTGACTCGCTTGGTAAAGTAATAAGTCATTTTCATAAACTATTTGAGTCGAAATACTTGTCAATATTTCATTATATTTCATTAGTTCTATTAACAAAAAAAAAATAAATAAATAAATAAATAAAAAATAAAATAAAATAAAAACCATTTTAAACTACAAAAAAAAAAGAAAAAAGAAAAAAACCGTGACTGCGTTAAAAGACTGTAAGGATTATATTCAATTATATATACACTGCCACGGAAAGGTTCTGTTCGCTTTCTTTTATTATTTTAATTTCCTTTATTAAGCAAGAACAAAAAGTAAAGGAAACGATTGCATGTTCTAAAATATTCATGCAAAGGTGATGCAAAGGTGGTTTTTGTGTTGTGCGCGACTATGCGGGCATATATATATATATATATATGCATGCGCTGGGGGTGCGTGTGTAAGCAAGCAATACCTGTGTGGTAGTTTATGCAATTTTGCATTATTTATGAAAATTGGAATAAAATGACGGCATAAACTGAAAAAAAATTGTAAGAATACAGGCCGCCGTTACCCTACAAGAAAAGAAAAACAAAAACAAAAAGAAAATGAAAAAGAAAAAAAAATAATAATAATAATAATTCTCGTGTGATTATGTTTTGGCAGAGATATGATGATTGTGCACAAGAGCAATTTGCACATGCTTTCTGTTTTTGTTTTTAGTTTGTGAATTTCTTTTATTTTCTTTTTTTTTTTGTTTTTTCACCTTTGTGTATGTCAAACATTCTGTGATGCTTGTTTGACACTTGCTCTCCAAGTGATTGCTGAACTGAATACAAACAGAAACGCACTTAGCCAGCCACCGTGTCGATTATGTGAATTGTTTGGTTGGTTGGTTGGTTGTTTGGTTCGCTGGCTCGGTGGCTGGCTGGCTGGCTGACTGCATGACGTTTGGTTATTAAAGGTGTTTTGGTTGCATTTTTATTTGAGGCTTGGTTAGATTTAAGCTAAATAATAATAAAAAAATAAAAAATAAAAAAAAACAAAATTTAATGAGTACGTGCACTCACATGCAAACATTATCGGATTACAATGATTTGCACTTAAAATTGAACCATATCTCATGGCACCATATATACCAGTGTCCTACCGGTGGGGTCTGAATGATCGACCGCCGTAACGCATGACTGACGCTGTTGATTGCATTTAAAAAAGTATAACAAAATGTTCTAGGGTAGTAAACAAACGGCTTGCTGTTATGCATGCATGTACTATATTTAAATTGTTTTAAAAAAGTGTTAAACTCTTCTACTCATCATCAAGACAAGAAAGGAAATTATATTGGCTTTCTGGTAGAACGTTGTTACTTACTCACCCTCACACTTCACAAATACCTGATACTTTTTACATTTTTATTGTGTACGTGTCTTCTTAGTTTCTTTAAACGACCTTGCAAAGTGTTTTAATATCAGGGTTAATATCAACACCTTGTGGATGTGGCTGCAGAAGCGACAAACCCAAATCGATCTTAATCTGTGCTCAAACACTATGCATATGTTACTGTATTTGAAAAAGTCGTAAGACTTCTATTCAAGTCGCCCTGGCCTATTCAAGAGATCAGTTTTTTTTTTTTTTTTTTTTTTCCTTGGACTGGCATCTATGACATCTACATAAGTATGTGAAATTTCATGTGAACATCTTCTTTATGTTCAAGAGATATGTTTATTTACTTTGATTCAAACAAAAATTGCATTTTTCAAGAGCAAACATAAAATCTTACTCTGCTTAAGAATAAATACTTTTTTTAGGGAGTTTTTAATGGCTATTTCGGTGTTAGACGAAGCAACGACAAGTAAGTCTTCTATGCGCCCCATTTTTGGCGAAGAATGTAAAAAATGTTTATTATTTAATTTTAATGAGGTTTTTAACTCATTTTAATGGCACTTACAATACTTCGATTATGCCTTCTGCTGCTATTGCCACGCCCATTTTTATTCATTAATATAATAATAAATGTAATGCTTGCTAATATTATTACGATCGCTACTAATATCAGTCTTGCCACTAAGGCTATGATTATTGATGCAATCAAGCAATTGCCGGTTACTATGCACCACTGCACCAATGTGTTTATGATGGTATTTCGATTACCAAACATGCCCAATGATCGCACATTATCAATTTAAATTCTTTATAGCTTTATAGCTCTTGTTAGTAGTTCTAGTAAAATTTCTTTCACTCCTTCATATCTTAATTTCGATTACATGTCGAATATAATCTTTTACGGATCGTTTGCGAGTTAATACAGCGTAAGGAAACAATATCTTTTAAAAGTTAATGAGTGCTGGCAATACTGTCGAACTCAAAAGCTTTGCCTAATGTACAAATCCATTTGTTATATTTCCCTAAAGCGAAAGCCATAAATTTTTTTGAACTTTAGCTACAAGGAAAGTGCGCAGACTCTAAGTGAAAGTTTTTCTCAAGCCCAAATTAAATGAAGAAAAAAGAGAGAAATCATGTAAACAAATAAGCAAACCCAAGTATCGCACTACAAGAGGGCATCTCTTGATTAAATTCTATTGTTCATTATGACAATAGACAGACGTGTACAGCCGTGACCAGTAGGTGTCCAGTCAAATTTCACTATTTAACCTACCTCAAGGCATTTAATGGAATATATAAATATAAACACACACACACATACGTACCTACATACATACATACATACATAAGAAAAATACGCGCATACACAAAGTGTTGACAAACAGAAATACTATAATTATCTCAACAAAATATATATCCGAACATCTTTTAGAACGAACGCCTGGCTATACTGTTATGCATAATGTAGTGCAAGTTTTTTGCAAGTTCATAGCTAACATAGCTTTTATGAATTGCTTGTCATTCTCTGAAATGCGCGCTTATTTTTGTTCTAATTCTCGTTATATTATATTTCACTTTCAATGCTTCCCTACACACGCCAGTGGCAGTGGATAAGTGTGCAAATGTTAACCTACAATATATTTAAAGTCTCATCATCATCGTCACTGGCATCATCGACATCATCATTATAATCATCATCATCACAATCACCATTACCATTACCATCACCATCACCATCACCATCACCATCACCAATGGCAATAGCAATATCATTATGAAATATTGTATCGCTTGTTTATGTTCGCTTTCTTTCGACAACGTTTTTGTTTAGTTTTATTTTGGTCGCTATTATGAGCGGGCGGTATTTTCTGATTTTATTTGTTTTTTCGGAACAACATTTTAATAAACAATTCTTTTTTTTTTTTCTTTTTTTTATTTCGCCTTACAATTACAATGAAATAAATCATTTTGTGTAAACTTAGAATAACTGCGGTTTTATTACAGTTAAATAATAAGTGAATGCATATAGGACAAAAACTGTGAGCAAAAAACAAAAAAAAAAAAAACAATAAAAAAACAACAAAAAAACAACAAAAAAACAACGAAAAAATACATAAAAATTGTGTATTAATTTAAATGAAATTAATTTCTTTTAAAATAATAAACAATAACTTCACGAGTGTTTTTTTTTTTTTTTATTTTAGCTTAAATCGATGATCTGATCATTTGTGTAAAGTATTTTCTATTTTCATTAAAATTTCCATATCATACAAATGCATGCCTGTTAGCAATCACGGTTGAAACACGTACATACGCACGCATGCACGCATGCATATGTGCACACCTATATATATATATACATATATATATATATATATATACATATTCATGAGTGCATAAATACGTTCATATATGTTAATATGTTGTGCAGGCCTGCCCTATATCCGTACATTCATTTCTACTCTAGAGTCTGAATTAAGTCTTCTTTTAATTACCTTTGACCTTGAATTGTCAGGATGCTTTTTTTCTACCATTTGGTTAACTTTTCCTCTTTTCTTTGTATTTCTTTTCCTTTCTGCACTTTGTTTATATTTATGAGGTAAACCATCATCAGCCCTTAGTTAGTTGTTGTTGTTGTTGTTGTTGTTTCTTTTTTTAAAATACGGCAGTTGTACAATAATTCGTACAAATAGATACTCATACGCAGTCATACAACGATGTGTATATACAGCAGCGGTATATGTGCAGTGAAAAGGCTTTGCTTTATAAAATGAAGGCTTTGCTTTATAATATCTCTTATAAGTTGAAAATATCTTTCTTCATGGATATCATTCTATCTACTTTCTGTTACTGTTTGCATTTACATTTCATTTACGTACAATGTCACCGGTTATTACATTTGTACGCTGCGTATTAATGTCCTTTAATCTATATGTATGTATGTATGTATGTATGTATATTCTACACGTGGATATGTGACATTATCATCTTACTTTAAAGAAATTTTAAATAAAGCTGAACAAGTCTCTCAGTATATTGTTTAAGTTGATATTGTCTCATCCTTTTACTCACAATCACGATAATCTGTTGGATATAATTTTAATTACTGCAGACACTTTCGTATTGAGAGTGAATAAAGTTCATCTAGAATATCACTATATTATGCTTATAATCAAAGGATGGTAGTGCGCTGGATTTTTTTTTTTTTCTCTCTCTCTTTTATAGCCTACATGAGTTGGATGGGTAGAAATGTACTAACAATGGTAAATTAAGTTTGTGCGAATATGTGCGACATCCAGAAAAAATTGAGATATATCTATCGTCTATCATACCGATCGAATCAGAAAATGATTGTCAATCGATCTAACCTTATCTGTCCATTTGTTGTCCGCCTTGTTTTCTTGTATTTTAACCTATAGTCCGCGGTTTTTGAATTATTTTGATGAGCTGCTGATCTGCTTTTGGCCCAAGGAGGAACGCAATTGAAAATGATTCGGATCGAAATACTTTTTCGATGCCTTATAACGCCTTATTATTATTATTATTATTATTGGAAAAATCGTTAGGCGAAGTAATGTTAGGTATTTAAAGGCGGGCCATTTCACACTATACTTTTTTGATTGGTTAACATTAGCATACAAAAAATTTGTATCAGATATATGATGACGTATATATACACATTTATTACGATCAGCTTAAAATCTTGAACGGTAACATAAGCTCCACTGATTATTAAAAGTAAAGTCGCTTTCCTAAAAGAAGCCAAAGTTCTAAGCTATCTTATCTATTATAGAATAATCAATTCTTACATCAATGAATAAGATACATGATGTTTACGAAGGAATCTTATTTTGAATCCGCAATTAAAAATATCAAGACAATTAGATAAAAAATTGCTGGGACCAGCGATAGGGTAGGAGAAAAAGGCATAGTTTAAAAAAAAAACAAAACGACAAGCGAGAAGCGAGAAAAGAGAGTTTTTTTTTTCCTCTTAATCACGGGATGTCCGTGTCATACGATTAGTTCCATAACTGTGAACTACTCCTGGCTTTGACGGCCTCCCCGCCCCGAACTCTGATCGAAATCCTCTTTTCACGTCCATTAGTTCTCTTTACATTTATATTATTATCAAGTTAGCCAATAAATTCAAAATATTTATACTATGGCTTTACGAATACGTTCGTAAATTAATTTAAACTAAAATAAATTAAAAAATTAAACTGTAATTTATAAAGATTATATATAACATAATATTAAATATTTAGTTATAAATTCTAATATGACTCAGATAAAATTTATTGCATTTATATTAAAGGTGACTTTCATTGTTCGCATATTCACTTTTTTTATCCATCTTTTAGTTCGCTTTTATTATAGTTGTAATCTGACAAGTCTAAAATCTAATAAATAATATCGAATTAGTCGCCCGAAACACGATCTTCAAGCTCTTTACCCTCAACGATTTTTATTAATTTTCTTTATTTTATACAGTGCATGAGCACTAAGAAGGGCTACAAATATATTCGGAACGGAGTGACTATCATCCCTACATAAAGTTGAAAATAAAAAATGAAATATTGAGGGTAAAGTTCTCTCCACAGAGAGTTATGCAATTCATTGATAATATTTATATTCATCATCTACACGGCGTTCGTACTTACTTCGTTTGAGATCCTACACACAATGGTGTGTGATCAAGTTTTTAGTATTTTTATTCCCCTTTCGGCATAAGTCAGTCAACGCAAGAAACTGCATTTTTTCCGCAGATCAAGAAAATGTCAAATCAGAAAAATCCAAATTTTCGGATACTTTTGGCAATTCGCCTATAACTCCCAACAAGTTTCCGCAATCCATTTTTATAAATGCGAAAAATCAAACTTTTTTTTCCGAACCGTTTGTTAGTGACATTTTTTCAAACAAACATTAAAAATACGTGTAAGGAGACCACGTAGTAAATCAGCACATTGTTGGAGAATAGCAGACGGACCAGGGTAGCTAGCTGTGGCACGGGAGTACCTTGGTACAAATTTGAATTGAAAAACAAGTAAAAACATTGTAATGGGATAAGGCCCATCATTAAGTATCCTAGGCTACCCTGCAATTATTCATATAGCGGTTTTTTAAAGTAAGGTATTATATTGGAAGCAGTCGAAAAAGTGATCGGATCTGAATCGTTTTCAATAGCGTTCTATCTATATTTTCCTTTCAAAATTCGTCAAAATATCCGTATAATTGCGACCTGTAAGTGTGTGTAACACAAGAATACAAGACGGACAGATAAGCTTAGATCGATTCAGAAAATGTTTATCGGGAATCGGGAAAAAAATGCTAATAAAAGTTGGATCTGTTTCAAGTCGTTTTGGGTGTTGCATATATCCACACAAACTCAATATAACCTTTTAACATAAATAAGGTATAGGGTATAATGAATATATAGTTTTGCCGTTTGACAACAAATATAAAGACAACGCAAAAGAGAAACTTTTTTCAAGAATTCTCATAAGCAGATCAATATAGGCCTGTGTATGTGTATGGCGATGTTTATCTAAATGTCCCTTCGTCTTTGTGGAGAACATATTGAACAGCTCGCCTTGAAAGGTAATAGTGAAATATATATATATATATATGAGTTTGTGTCAACGCAAATATATATTTTATATATGCTTCCAATATTTTACGATATTTCTCCAATAAATTGAAAAGTACAAGGAGAAATAATAAAAGCTGTAATATGTAGTAAAAATATATATGTATATATATATATATGTTACATATATGCAGACGATCATTTGTATGATACATGTTCAAGGTCATTCGGTTTTAGTAAAAACAATTTTATTAAGAGATGCAGCTTAACTGACTGATAGTATTCTTAGATAAATGCATAAAAACATAAGTGAAGCAAAGTGTGCATATCAATAAAATGCAATGCAAGGAAATTACTTTCAAATCCTAATACCCTTGACGCAATCTACTTACTCTGTGTTTAAAAAATTATAATTTCTTTCTCTCCTCTATCAAGAGTGACTGTATGAGGATAATTTTAGTAATTTTAGCTGCACAGCGATATGCATATGTATCTATGCGAATTTATTTTTTAGAGAGTTCCTTGCTTCTCAACTTTTTATCGTAGATTAGCTTTCGCAGTGTCGTTCATAGATTTGACCTTTCCACAGCCACCATCAAATAATGTCGTCAAAGTAGACTTCACTGTTACACGATTTGTAAATCTAACTTAATCACTGTACATATGTACAATATATGATCGCCGACTATCGATTAGTGGACAAGAACTAATGAAAATAGTTCCGTTTTAACGGTTAGCGCCATATATATGCCTACGTTCACCACTACGATAAGAATAAATAGGTTTTCATTATTGCAGTCAACCTATCGATAACATCACGAGGCACGCGTCAGAAGCTTCATAAAATTAATTAATTTGCTGAATAATGTAAGATAGCTCGATCATGGGTAAATCTCTACCTTCTGTCCTTCTGTCGTCTCGAGGATGAACTTAGATTACGGCGGGCGACGTTATGTGAAGAATGCTACCACCAAGCACTCGGAAAACGTTCGTTTGATAAAACAGAAACATTGAACTTTAGAGCCATCAAGTCTGATTCTTCGCCGTAGTATTGATGCAATCTAGACTCTTATGATGACGAGACTGTTCGTTGGAAAAAAGCTTTCATTTTTATGATTACACTCAAAAAAGGATTCGTTGGTCGAGTATATAGCTTAAATGATTTCTATTTATATTAATTATAATACAAAATTAATTTTACAATCAACGGTTAGAAAACGTAAGAATAAAAAGATAAACCGAGCTTTAAACTTTTGCGAAAAGAAAATTTTTTTCTATGTAATTTCTTGTTATCCCAGTATCTAGTCACCAATGGAATCCATTAGATGGTCTATTATAAATAATAAATAATTGCTGTTATATATAAAGAAGTCACATTGGTAATCAAGAGATCGACCTTTTGATATTCTGCCACAACAACAAGCAACGGCAACTCAAAACATTTTCGGTATATAATTTCTCCCAATGTGTGAAAAATTAAATTTTTGGTAAATTATAAAAAAAAAAAAAAAATAAAAGAAATTTATTCATACGTTTGATTAAAATCAGTGATAAATTAGTGTGAAAGAACTAACTAGACTTTATTGACTATTAACTAACTGGATAGATATAAGTTTCAAAGTAAATGCTCTCCTCCAACATCCATAGTTAGTCAACCATAATTCGAGATCATGCTCCGATAGTTGGATTTACGATAACTACTTTAGGAAAAATTACGCATAAAAATTTGCATTTCCTGTTCTTTAAAACTCAGATGAGGAAAGAATTTCATTTACATTATTTGCTAAGCTGTTTAATGTGCCAATTAAATATTAAAATTCACTCATCAAAAAGAGTAAACCCTCCCGGCAAACATCCTGTGCACTTGATGACAAAAAATCACCCCAAGGATAAATATATATATATATATGAAGTATATGATATATATGATATATATGATATATATATATATATATATATATAGATATATATATATATATTTGTATATCTATGTATATCTATATATATATATATATATATATGAAGCTTATTTATATTTTGTTTTCATTGTAATCTTTTCTTCTTTTTTGTGTTTCGTTTCCTTCGTCTATAAATGAGAGAGGAAAGCAAACTTAAACAACCAAATATTCAGTTAACATACCGGATGGTTTGTTTGTTTCCGGTTTTATTACAGGATCCGCTCGTTCAATCAACTAACGCGTGTCTACATGTGTCCATGTATTTATATTCTCTGACTTTGTTCTATTCATATACTTGAAAAGTTAAAGCGCTTTTTTGATTTTTTTTTTCTTCATTTCTCTAATTATATATATTAACTTGTTTGCATATTGTCTTAACGGGGTAAGTCACTATGATTTTTTCAAAATATCAGTTTTTCTTTTATACCCATCACCATTTTGGAACGCGCAAAAGGAAGCTTTAGTGACGCGGCGCAATATATATATATATATTCTTGATCAGCATCAAATTCTGAATCGATTTAACCATGTTCGTCTGTCCGTCTGTCCGTCTGTGTAGTGTCGACTGTAGACATTCATTTGGCTGCAAAAATGAGACTTAAAATTTAAGAAAAACGTTGGAAATTCTTGCACGCACGTTACTATTGAAAATGGGCAAAATTGGTCGAAGGACAAGCGTACAGCACTTCGTAAATTAAAAACATTTCGGTTTCTCAAGAGGAATAAAAAAAATGGAATTTTTGCTTATTACTACTCATACGCATTACTCTAAATGTATATTCTGTGGGTGATGTATGTATAGTAAAATGAACTAATCACGGCTACCCAATATTATAGTGTGACAAAATTTAATTTTTACCTCAATACCTTTACAACGAGCAGAGTTAAGCTTCAAAACTCTCATGACGTATATAAATTCTTGATCAATTTCAATTCAATTTGAAATGCAGGAAACATGTCCGCTCGTGTATTTGTCCATATGTCAGTCTGCCCAACGGTGTAGTATTTGTGGTAAATAGTCTCCCGTTAGCAAAAATGAAGATATCGCCTACAAACTTGCAAAAGAACTTTAAAACGATCCAAGTTTTGAAAAGGGCATGCCTGCAACGCCCACAAGCCTATCCGACAAAAAATATATTATTTTGAAAATAGAAATATCACTCAGTCGCACGCCTTGCTACACACCTTGAATATTTAGTTTTTACTTTTTTTTATCCTTATCCTATATTTTACAATTAAGATTCGGTTATAATCGAATATAATTTTCTTAGTTGTCTTAATTGGCTTTAATTGTCCCTTAAATTGTCAAGAAGGTCAACAGAAGACTATTGTGGGCTTAAAAAAATGTCAAATGATTTAAGAATGCAATTTTATGAACATAAATGCATTTTATACATTGTATGGCCGGTATACAGGCACTTGAAATTTTTTTTTTTTTTTTTCACGAAACACGATTTTTAAGCACCGCCCCAGGAATAAGTTCTACAATTTTCGTTCTTTCCTTTCGACTTACTTTTTGGCAGTATTGTTAAAATAACGTCCCGCAAAAAGGACATAAGGTTGTTTTGCTACGTTAATGTAAGCATTTTTTTTTTTAATAAGAAACAGAGTGACTTTCTTTGCTCGAAAATTGAACTTGTTCGGTAAAGAACCCAAAAAGTTCTACCTACTTCTCCTCTAACTTACTTATAGCCATGTGGTGTAGATGACATGATTTTTTTTTTTTTTTAGGCTGGTGTATGCATCACCCAGAAAGCGCCTTCTCAGATCGGAATCAACCTTCTGAATCGATATAAGCTTGTCTGTCTGTCTGTCTTGGATTCTTTGGTTAAGCATACAGGTCGCAATTATATGGATATTGTGATGAAATTTGATGCGCTAGATGAACCTGACCTATTTTGATCTGTACATGAACGCTATTGAAAACGGTTCGGATACGATCACTTTTTCGACTGCTTCCCATGCTTTGGAAATCGCTATATGAATAACTGTAGGTTAGTCTAGGATACTTGGCTAATGGTGGACCTTATCCCATTACAATGTTTTTATTTGTTTTTAAATTCAAATTTGTACCAATGCACTCCCGCGCCGCAGATCCCCTTAAATTGATGATGACACATTGCGAAAATGAGCGCGGTATTGCCGCTTCCTAATATTTCTATAGCGTTTAAAGGAATGCTTTAGAATATCCTCAAGTACTATTTTTAGTTTTTTAGTGTGTCCCAAACCTAAGTCTAATTTTGAACAAAAAAAAAAAAAAAAAGAGTAAAAAATATCATTTTTATGTTTTTAAATTTTTGTGAATTTAAAAAACATTGTAACAGATAATTGAAGCAAAAATTATCTCAAGTCATTAAGAAGGCTTTCAGGTTAATTGTTTATGTGTGGATTGTGCAAACACTCACGAACACACACGCATACGTATGCACATTCCACATACATACATACATGCACGTATGCATACTCATACACAGGCGCACTTACCTATATACGCATCATCCATTTTATCTACATACGTGTGTAATTGTTTGCTTTACGCACACAACTGTGACACTCATTATTTGCCTGCATTCATTTTCCTATTATGCGATGATGATAACTGAACTGAATCAAACGAAACCCAACACAATGCATGTAATGCATACATGCACAAATACACGCACACATAAAGACACATAAGTTTTTTTTTCTCCATTATTACGTTCATTTTGATATGAGGATAAATGCAAAATACATGAGAGTATATATATATATATATATATATATATGTTTGCACGGTAGGATACTTTAAATAAATCCTCATCACGTATTTTCACAATCGTGCGGTTAAATCTATCCATGTATGCGTAAGTGACATTTACAAAAGTAGTTTCAAAAGTGGAGAGTAGGTGAACGTGTGATTATGTATGTATATGTGTGCTTGCGGTATACTCAAGCGACATACAACAATAAAGCCATAAATTTAAAGAATCGTCTATCGTGGATAGATAGCATTTCATTCGTTATATACAACTACAAGTGTTTTATGAACCCTTTTCTTCCCTCAGTAATTACATATAGATATTTATGTTATATTTCAAAGGGAAAGAACATCCCAGTTCATCTTTATTTTCTCACTGAATTTGCTTGCTTATTTTATTCTAGAGTTTAAAAATCATTTCTGAGCCTAAAAAAAAATAAAAGGACAAAAACGGTTAAAAAATCCGTTTGTTGTGGCAAGTTTTTTTTGTTGTTTTTGTTTATATATATAAATTTTTTTTTAATTTTTTTTTTTTTTTTTTTGGTAATAAATCAAATCAAATAACATTTAAACAAATCGGCAGCCATCATGTGTATGAAAATTTCAAAGACCCCCGTGTTTTTAATTGGAAGCATATGTTTCGTTATCGTATTGGTCGCTTTGTGTGGCATCACTCTTATTAATAACATAAATTTATCGAATATTATACGTTTAAATGAAAAAGTCGCTAGTGATAGCGTAATGAGCGGAAATGATAATCAAGTGCATGCGGAATACGATTATGTTAATCATCATCATCCAAAAAATATAAATAGATTTGAACAGTCAACGTTTAACACAAATGATAGCAAAAATTTTAAAACACCCACTACCACCAGTCGATTATTGACATCATCATTAAGTCCAGCCGGTGAGACGCGTAATGCCGCACAAATACGTCATGAAATGTCTTCGTTGAATAGTGATGGCAGTTATGGTGACACTGTCTCTAATAATTGGCAAACTGACAAATTCTTAGCAAATGATAGAAATGTTAACACACTATTAGTGCACGAAGTGATTGCTGTTAACAGTTCGTCTTCGCAATCATTAAATAAAATGTTAAATGTAACAAATAATGTCGATCGTCGAAACAATGTCTCAATAATAGCATCACAATGTTATCCGATAATTGATAAAACTATTTCCATGATCGATTATACGAGACGTGATCGTATTGTTAAGGTGAGTGGAAGTTTATTTACTTTTTTCTTTTTTTTTTTTTATTATTATTATTTATATTTATATCTTATTTAGTTATTTTATAAACTTGAAGCCATATAATAAATGCCATACGCATTATCTAGGCGGTGTCTTTAAATCTTTTTATCATAGAGCAATCAAATCGAAACATTTATTTACGTTTTTCTTTTGAAGAGCAAATGAAAAATAGACACTCAAACACTCTCTCTCTGTCATCATCATCATACTATAAAAAATGTACAAGTGTTCTTATATTTTTGCTCTTATATTACTTGGTTATTTTATTTTTTTTATTTATTTTATTTTGTATTTTTTTTTTTTTTTTTTTTTTTGCCTTTTCTCCGTCTTCTTATATTAAGTAACCCAAACAAACCACTTGTAGTGAATTGCTTTTGTGTCAAACCTTGTAGTTCAAAAAAACAAAAAAAAAAAAAAAAAAGCGAAATAGAAATACATCGAGTTCCATTTTGAGTGTTTCATTGCGTGTGAGGCCACAATTTTGGCAGTTATGCATAGAACTATTTAGACATATATATATATATATATATATATATGCACACAAATTTCCATTGCAACATTTATCTGCGGGAGAGTCAAAGGAAAACACGATGAAACGTTACATGATTTAAACTAAGCCACACACACAAGGTGCAAGCAATTTATAAAGGATTTAAAAATCCGAGTCGATCGTTACTTCAGTGTTAAGGAGCAGTAATATTACCTTACGCGTTCAATGGGGTGTGGCACCTTTGACATAGTAAATCTTCTTTTTTGTTTTTGCAAGATTTCCTTTATCGTACAACTATAAGACGCATTTTTGTGCCTCATACAACAAACCAAAAATACTCTATTGAATTAAGTGAGCCATCTTTTCGAAGAGTTAATGTAAAAGAACAAAAAAACAATATCTTCGATATGAAAATTTGTTTTCAAATCGCTCCAAAGTTGGCCTTATATTATAGTATAGAGCTTGAAAGCAATCAAGTGGTGGAATAGGAGTGAATGTGAATAGGATGCTTTTTCTTTTACTTCCACTCATACCAGGCATGCATTATACAAGTAATTACTTGATTTACTGGTTTTGATCACTTCTACGCCCATTGCCGGTTGTGTTTAAGATTTTTTCCATCTCCTTCCTTGGTGTTTACACATGTCAAACCCATTCATCGGGAATGGGTTTTTTAAAATATCGAATATTCATGGCATGGCATCTAGTGAACAAATTTTGTTATAAACTGCTCCAATCCTATGCAATCCTCGCCGAGGAGTGCTATCAATAATATCTGATGGCATTGATCTGATTATTAGAGGAATAACAGAATATTCAACTGATCAGTTGACATCGAACTGAAATGTGCGAACATCCGTTGCATATGCGGCTAATGTCCACTTTCATGATGACGGTGTATAAAAGATTCGACGACAAGCGAATATTAATTTTTTTATTTCCTTGTAATGAAAGCGTAAAAAAAGATATGATACCTCTGCGAATGAGAACAATCTGTGCTAGCATAGTTTGTCTTTGTTAGCTTTGTTAATTCAACTATTGAGTATAACATGCACATATATATATATATATGTGTAGTGGTGTAATGTAATCAAAACAACATTAAAAAGTAAAAGTAAAATTATGCGTACGAGTCACATAGAATCCTTCCAATTTCATATCATTTTATATGATTGTTTGTGTTTATTCATGATGATTATATGATTGATGGAAGTGGAAAAGAAGAATGGACGGCGAATGCAAGAGTTTTCTTAAAAAAAAAAAATTTGAAGCCACATATGTAAATTAATTGGTGCTTGCATCTATTCTGATCAGCGGTATCTACTGGCGAAAATAATAAAGTAATGCAAAGTATCAACGTACATACCATACATAAATTCAATGAGTTCGACCATTATCTACATAAAGCGATGATTTTTCATTTAGTATTATTGAGTTATTTGGGCGTTAACCATGGAACGCCCAAAATAATATTTTCGGCATTCATTAGTTTTGTTGTTTGATTTGAAGAAATCAGCCGCCGAAAGAAGCTTATAGTGATGGATGCTGCTCCGCCATATCCCAATTGTCTGTTTTGACTGCAATGCTTTAAAAGAGATGACGTTGATTTCAATGACAACGAACGGTAAAAATGCGAACACAATGAACTGCCAGACGTCTTGAACGAAAACTCAGCCCAAAACTTTCCAAAGAGCTTTCAAACAGCTTAGCAGTTCGTGAATCAATTGTTTCTACACTTTTACATGCGATGGGAAAATGGCTTTCATACGAATTGATTGAAAATGCCATTCAGAACTGTTTCAACATTGCGGTCTCATTGCTTTCCAGGCAAAAAAGCACAGATTTCTGCGGCGTATTGTGACTGGCGATGATAAATGGATCTAGAACGATAACCTCTAGCGCAAAACGTCACGGGTTAGTCCAGAAGAGATATCCATATCGACACCGAAACGGAACATTCAACGACCATGAAATTTTGCTATCCCTATGCTGGAATCAGTAAGGTGTACTATATGACGAGCTGCTAAAACGGAACAATACTGTTACTGTAGATGTCTTCCGAAACCAGTTGAACGAATTCAATAATGTATTGTTGCAAAAGAGACTAGCAATGGCGGTTAACAGACACAAAGTCATCCTCTGAGATGACTACGCTCGGCCACACATTGCAAGAGTTGTCAAGGATACACGATTGCAGTTCAAATGGGAAATTCTGGCGCAACAAGCCTACTCGCCAGTGTTACAATCCCCAGAACTGTTTCCCCCTGTACAGCATTGGTTGTTAGATAGTTGGCGTCATATTTGGCGGATGATACAAAAATGGACGGAATCCATAAATTACCCGATAACTGGCAAAACATCATAGATAATGTGTGTTGGTGTTTGAATTAAATTGAATTTTATCCAAAAAAAAAAAAAAAAAAAAAAAAAAAAAAAAAAATAGCAACGATAACACGTTAACACATATAAGTTAAAGGGTGAAGTATTACGCCAGTTAAGGTTGAATTAAATCAGCCAAACTGAATTTATATATCGTGGGCTTACGGCATTATTAATGCCGGAGCAATGTTTAAATACTAATAAAGCAGTTAATTTCTTTGCTTCTGCATGTAAAGTGGCACTTGTCCCTGACAGTTCCACTATGTTATGAAGGATTTCTGTTCCCCTAATATTCAATCGCTTTACAATTTTACGACCTTTTCCAGTTTCTTTCTCTTTCTCTTTTTGTTTTTTTTTTTTTTTGGTTTTTAACGAAACCAAGCATTCATCATATGAATTAATTTCGATTAGAAATTTATTATATTTTTACGTAAAAAAGAAATCTTGCTAATGACATGTTACGTTATGAATGATCCTTTTTTGGAATTTTGTTCTTTCATAACATTTTTAATTTTTGTAAATGTATTCAGCGACAACAACTCTCAATCAGGCAATCAATTAAGAGGATGTCTGTCAAAGTTGCAGATGTCTGTCTCGTTTATTTTTTTTTTTACTTATAGCTTGAGGACAAACGGACAGGTGAGCATAATTAATTCAATCAAATTTTTTTTGTATGGCAATTAGAAAAATCCAAATGGTTGATTCTTCGAATAGAACCAAAACAAAAAAAAGAAAACAACTAAGAATGGTATAGCGAAACAAGGCCGGCCGACCAATTAATTTAATCAATAAATACTATAATAAACATTTTATATTATTTTTATGTAAATGCATAATTTTCATGCAAGTCCTGATATTGAAGGATATTTTAACGCCAACAACGTCCAAATTTGGCTAACTTCATTTCCTTATCGAAAATTTTATTATATTCCGGTTACGTCCGTCATAGTAAATCAAAAATTAGACCTTGTCGGTATACAAAAATTTTGCTTACATGATAAGCCCTATATAAGGTGCGATCTAGAGGATAGACTTATATGATTCAAATTCAAATTGATTTATTAAAGATAAATTTTTCTTAGAAAACAAGAAAAATTATTCATAGAAAACAAGTTTTAGACCCTTTTGGAATATAAAGAAAGATTTATAAAATAATTCTACGGAATCCAAATTCGGTAAAACTAATTTTTATGTAATTTTTACAAAAAGAGTCTTCATGAAGACGTCTTGAAAACGAGGCCATTTTACAATGTAACATTTAAGTTCCCTTAGAAAGAGGTTTCGAAAACTTGACCAAATTTATCCACAATTTTCACTCCAACTTGGAATGTTGAATGTTGTTCTATATTATTAAGCAATTTCCTTCGTGAAATCCGGTCAGAATAGATGGACAGACCTCAGATGGATAGGCGGACCGACAGGCTTAGTCTAATATATGGTGGGTCTATCTCAAGTTCTCCTAGATCTTATAAGTGCCCGTAAAAAACTTAATATACCCTATACCACACCACAAGTGGTGTAGAGTATAAAAACCTATGCATATGTAATTGTTCGCATTTTTGTAATACATATATGCATAACCTAACAAGCCACGAAACGTGTTCGCATTTTTTAAAGTATATAGATAACAAAAAGTCAAAACAAGGTTTTTATCAAAATTTTTTTTTTTTGGCAAATGTTATGGTTACAAAAAAATTTATATTAAAAATTTTGTTTATTTAAATGTCTCAAGTTCATTGCCTGTAATAACATATTATTTAACTTTTTTAATTTAACGTACATTGAAAGTAAACTGAGTTTATTTTTATAATATATTTCTTTGTTTCATTTAATTTTAAATTTATTTTTGCTCGGTTAGTTTGCATGATTTAGTAAAGTTTTTCAATAAAGTTTTTTTTGTTTATAATAAAAAAAAAAAACAAGAACGACTAAGAGAATTATACTCGAATGTAGACGAAACTTTTACACCCACACAGCGCACATCATTTTCTCTTAAAAAACAAATAAAAAAAAAAATAAATAAATAAAAAAAATTTGAATTTCATACTCCATGATATTGAGTAGGAGTGGTCGTCGTTTTTTTTTTTTTCTCTCT